CAGCAGAACAGTCACAAGTAGTTATGCTTCTTCCTTCATTAATTGTAAAGCCTCATTTCTCACATGGCAAGCATAAAGATGGAAGGAAGCTTCCAGTAAATGCCTAAATAATTTCAACTCTTATTTGAATGAAAGATTTTCTCTCAGCAACATCACAGATGCTTTTATTTGGGCCTTTTCAAGGACTGTTTCTGTTAGGAGGAAACAATTCTGTTGGATTGTCAAGCCAATCTGCTGCTTTCTTAACTAATAAACAAATTCTTAGAGCTTAATCTCTTTTCCCTATATCTTTCTGCGTTGTTTTTTTTTTTTTTCTGTCATCACTGCAATTTGCCAAAATTCACCAAAATTTACAATGGACCAAGTAGAGAAATTAAGGTTATAGGCCTGGTTGAATTTGGACTTCCCACTTACTGTACTGCAAATGAAACACGAAAAGTATTTTGATTTCTAGCATCTAGGAAGTTCTTGTCAACTTTCCCCAGAGCCCTTCTGTTGATTTTAAAACAAAACTCACCATCAGCAAAAAATCTGCCTCCCATTTCCCTGCTGTAGGGAGACTGTCCTTCAGAGAAGGATGAAAATGCAGAAACAGGCTTCTGTTCTGAAAAAATGTGTTACAGGCTTCCTTACAGCCAAATTCTGTGCTCTGACTAAACAGGTCAGCTCAAAAGAGAAGATTCAGAGGAGATTCACCAAAGCTCTAGCACTCGGTGCTCCCCACAACACGTGCTGTTGTAGGATCCATCAACAGCTGTACAGCCCTCTGTTACAGGCTCCTGTCATGTTTATCTGATGTTGTGAGTGGAAACATAATCCTACATAACTTTCATAAATGTCTGAAAAAAAGCTCTGTTACTACAGACTTTGAGGCAATCACTGTAAATTCCATTCTAATATAAATGACAAGTTACACTGACTTGTTTGCCTTAACTATAGATAGGCCTGCCAATATATATTGTTGCTGAGGTTGTATCTACTGTATGCTGATACACAACTGCTTCTGTTTTATAAATAGATCACTTTTTGTGTATTTCATCTAAGATGTAAATTATACCACTGACAATACTAATTGGAAAGTTTCCAAATGGGTCAGATTTTGGTCTAATTTTACTAAAATAACTGCTTATTACATAGGAAAGGTTAAGGAATATTTTTTAAACGTGGAAAGATTTTTTGTAAAGTTTTTCTGATATTTTCTTAAGTTTGCTGTGGTCTCTTTATTGTTCGTGTACTTTGTGTTTGAAATCAGATGCTGATTGGTGTCTCCTTTCATTTCTCTAGGAAAATTGCCCTGTATATGGTAGAACATCATCTATTTCTCATTATCATTGAAGTCAAAGACTATCAGCTACCGTAGCTACTTATACTTATGAGTAGGTAATCAAAATAATCACTGGTTGATAACAATTCTTCAAGAAAAAGAAACTTGACTTAACTGATTTTTAGTAATTGTTTTAATAATAGAAAGACTTCATTTTTTCCAATAGTTTTTCAAGGACACTTCAGTTGTCGCTGCTTGAATATGTAGGAAATACCTTTGCATCCAACAAGAATGACATTTTGTCTAACTAGAAAATAGATTATTTTCCAAATCCACAAACAAATAATTGCTAGATCATACTTAAGACCTGTCTTGCACAGTTGCAGATATTGGACTACTGAAGTAAGACTTATTTTGACACCAATAATGGTCAGCTGTTGATGTTAGACCCCATTGCTCAGGGCTACATCCAGTCTGTGCTAGCTCACAAAAGGGCACACAGACAGAAACAGTTCCCTGATCCCAGACTGGAGACCCCTAACCCTGCAGGAGGCTGGACTAGAGACCACCTGAGGTCCCCCTAACCTGAACGATCCTATCCTGACACAGTATTGTGACAGAACTCCTACTATTGAGATCCACAAGCATTTCTGTTTGAAGGTTTGTAATCAATTACTTCCACAGACAAAATATCCTCAGCCGGTACCTGATCAGTTACAAGCAGCTCTTGTTGGAGATGAAATTTTGCCAGGACTGAGCTAGACTTTGATGCTACCAGATGCTGAGAGTTTGAAGTATGATTCAGCAAGGACCTTAAAAATAAAAAAAAACTTTTAAAATGCTTCTAAAACCCACAGATGCATGATTCAAGTTCCTCAGAAGTTGCCTCGTTTCATTTTAAAAGATGGAAAAAGAACTAAAATTTGTCATAAATAACAAAAAGAAACAAAAAGCAAAAGCAGTACACATGGGGCTTACTGTGCCAAAAGCAAATTTTTATCATGTGCATCCTAAGGTAACAACCTGAACTTGTATTCTGCAGTTAATTTCATACATTTATTTCTTCCAATTCAGTATCAGTTGTAGGATTGGGATCTAGTCCAATTGCTAAGAGCTATAACATAAACAGTAATGTAGGTGAAGTCGTATAAAAATATTAATTATCTTTTGGAATATCTCAAAAAACTGATGGGCAAGTCACTGTAAAAAGACCTGTCTGTAATTAAAACAGGTAATATTTCTCTGGCTCTGAAATATGAAATATGGTTTGTAGCACAATTTTAAACCTTTATTTTAATTTATTTCTCAGTTCCAACACAAAACAACAAAATTAAATTTAGCAGTTAGTCTTGATATGTTTGGAGACTTCTTGAACTATGATTATGTCTCACTATGCCTTGAAACAATAAAAAACATTTTAAAACAGTATTATTATTAACTTTAATACTGATCTATGAAATAAGTCATAAATTTTGTCATGTTATATCTACTCTTATATAATGAGATAAGCTTTGACTTACTCTACAGCAAGACTGACTGACTTCATGGAGCTGTTACCTGGTTCATGATGTATTTACTTTCATAACTTCTGTTCCTAGGTTAAGGCTACAAAAGGTAAAAGCAACATTTAAAACAGATAAAGTTCATTTGAGCTAAAAAAATTTCCATCTTGATCAACATTCCTGGGAACCAGGACAACAGCAGTTATCATAGCACACCAGAAAATATCATAATAAGTTGTAACAACAAATGGGAAAAGATATAATAACAAAACTGATTATTTGACACTTTCATTTCATCTTATGCAGAACCACTGTGGTGACCAAGTTACACCATAGTAAAAGTTCATCTATTCCACAAAAATTGAATGTTAATTGAGTAACATTTTAAAACATGGTAGTACCCAACTTTAATATGGCTCCTCTGCACCTTAGCCTAGAGATTACATAGACGTAAGTTTTCTTCAAGCTATTCATTGCTAAAATTCAGACAAAATAGTATTAAGTTACATTTTCCACTTTCCCTGCACAATGTAGCATTTAGAATTAAGATTTAAGATCATTTTGGAAATACAGAGTACTTAATGCAAGAACAAAATTTTTTGGTATGATCGCATGTTTATGTTGCATAAGATAATACAATCCATCTGTTGGGAAAATCCTTGCTGAATATTATATCTGTTTTAGCAATAAACATGAATAGAAATCAGGATTATTTTTTTAAAATACAAAACTGAGTAACAGTGAGCCTTATGAAGAAATAAGTCTGGGAACCTGAGGCAAATTATACATGTTAATGGTGGAGTCACTGAGAACAGTTAACACAATGTAACCAAATGTTAACTGGAATATTTTGCAGTAACTTAGTGAAGAGATCTGTGTTTAATGAATATATGAACGCTTGGTTTTTAAATTTCTAACTTCAGATGGTGAAGATTAAGTGTTAAGGGTGTTACTGTAAATGTTTAACTGAGATGAACATCACTGATTTTCTAATTTTACCACATGGTTTATTTCAGAAGAAAACAAGCACCAGTTAACATAGTTCTCCTGCAAGTCAGTAAACAGTCACACACAAAAACTCAATATAATTCACTTCTTTGTTTATGTGCAGGATATTTAGTTTGGTTTGCAAAGTATTAGAAGAATAATAAGAACCTCCTGACAGAATACCACAACTAAATGTCTAAAAAGCCACTCAGTTAATCTCAGTGTTGGATCTGGCTGTTTCAAATTATTGTAATGTATAATAACAGTCTTATTGACAATATAGATGCACAGAGCCAAAAAAAGCTAGAAATAGTGGCCAAAATGATGAACTAAGTGCCAGCCCAAATGACAACAAACATATGGCCATTAACTGAAGAATGGAGGGGTTTAGGAATGCAGCTGTCTGTGGTCTCCTAAAGTTCCAGAGGAATGAAACGCTGTAAGGATTGGCAAAGTGTGGATGAGAAGTACTACTGAAGATGGTAGGTCCTAAAATGGAGTCAACCAGCAGACCATGCTGGAATTCAGAGATTTCTGTGGTCAGAATATATTCATTCCATTGGCCTCATAATGTACATCAACAAATTAATATTGTATGGATGTCATTTCAAAGCCTACTGAAGATGAACAGCCATTACTGAAGCCATTAGAGCACAGATGGTTCAAACTATATGCAGATATTCATACTTGCATTTCTGCATTATAGCAGAGTTTTTTTTCTGTTGAACTGTAATGAATTGTCTCATAATCTATTCCATCTTCTTGCCATTAGCAGGCTTTGAATGTTCACAAATAGGAGCAAAGAACTCATTTTCCAGAGCTTTAATCACACAAAGAGGGAATGCCTAATTCTCTAAATGAAATGGTCTGTGATCACTGAAGCAGAGATTTAATATATCACGGCAAATTAGGTAGATTTTAATAAATTACTTATCTCTCTGAATACTTTACATATGCTTATGAAGAAACATAGCCTGTTTGCAAACAGTAGAAATCCACAGTCTATAAAATCCTTTGAAGAAAATGACAAATAAAAAAGTAAATTAAAAAATGAAATGTATTATATCCTCGTTCTCAAGAGACAATCCTTTTGCAGCATTGATTCACAGCTCCATTAAAAATATCAATTAAATCCTTCACTGAGATTGGTTAAAAGCTGTAAAATTAACTTTCCACACTAGACAGTAGTTATTCAGATACAACAATTTATTGTATGTGTTTGATGTAAGTTCTAAACGTGACAAAACCCAAATGAAAACAGTTGCCCATCCCTAAAGCCCAAAGTAGGTGAAGCAAAATCTGATACTCTATGGCTTCTTTTTGTGCTTTGACAGATGCTGGCTGCAAGTAAATCAAGTACTGTACAGAAAATGATTGTGCCTGCCCTCCCCCTACTTCAAATTATGGTAACCATAAACAGCTGATTATAATGTTAGTAGAAGGGTAAAAGTTATTTAAAAAAAGGTTGCAGTAATTTAATAAGTCCTGCAACTAGCCTAATTTTTTATATTTAATTGATAGGAACTGCATGCATCAAAGAAAACACATACTGAGATTTAATGTGCATAAAATGGATATTAGCATTTTAAAGAGGCAGATTAACACATTAATCCAAGTAATTTTCATATATTGCTTTTAATAAAATCTTCACAGTATAAAATTCTTAATGAGGCTAATCACAGGCATTCCATTTAGTGGGGTGATTAGGGATAACATAAAAGTATTTTTAATCAGTTTTCTAAGGCTTATGGTTTTTTTATTAAAAATTAAAATTTTGACTTGCATTTTTATTACTGTTTTATGTAGGAAAAAATCTTAAAAATGCAAATAAAGCACATCGTTCAATCATGTAGGTATTAATTATTTACAAGACGTTGTCCATTGTGGAGATATTCTTAGCCTTAGGGGGGGAATATAAAAACAAACAGACTGAAAAGTATACAAAACTTTACAACTACAAATCAAGCGTCCTTTTCATATAAATTATACATTAAATATACTGTAGGAATTACAAAGATCTCATCTTTGATGCACTATCAAGCATGTATTTACACTGGGAGAAGGATCTTCTGTAGGCAAACTTCCTTTCATGCCTCGTAGTCATCTTTGCATTCCCCTCTCAACTGAGGGCAGCGCATGGAGGGCTTCCACTGCTCCTTTGAGCTTTCCAATTACTGCACTATCATCTTGTGAATCAAAAACTAGAGAGGAGACATTACAAAACAGCATTAGCAATTTCATTTAAGGTTTCACTTTTGTTCTCATAATCTTCCTTAGTATTTGGACAGATTAAAAGGCTCCTAGTGTACGTTAAAAAAAAAAAAAAAGGGGGAGGGAGAGGTAAATAAATAATAAAGAAAAAAAGAAATCTTACTTTTCAGGTACTCAGCCTACTGGAAACTGAGCACTCTAAGAACTAGAATGTACATCAATGAAAGTATCAGTGCTGGAATTAACTCTGAAATTAAGAAAATTATTCATATAATAATTGCCTATATAAATTAATAATTTTTCACAATGTGTAAATAAAGGGGTTCCAAGTTACATTAAAAACATTTATGCATAGGCAGAAATAATTTTAAGTAAAAAAATATACCAATTAATGTATTTCCTATACTGTGTGTATGATGGATCCAAGTCAGCCTGGACAATTATTAGTACGTAAATAGCAAGTTGTTCTTTCCAGTTTGTGCAATGCAAAATTATTTAAATTCCAAGCTTCTGTTTATTGTAAAATAGTGAAGCATGAGCAAAGAAGATAATTTCCCTAGACTAAACTAAGTACCTTCATCTTTGTGTATGTGGGTTTTAAAGTAGTATTTAAAATTTCTATGTTACAGAAATTAGCTGACATGATTTAAAATTGCACTCCTTTACAATATCTAAGCAAGCCCAGAGGGCCAGAATCTCTGCTGCTGTGATTAAAACATGCTGCTAAGTCAAAAATGAGACTCTTTCCCAGTCCTGCACAAAAAGCAATGAGGCTGCTGAACATGACTATAGAAGGAATTTGAATAAAAACAAATAATCTTGACAGCATATCTTTTCAAAGCAAATTACACAGCTGACAAATAGCAAGGTTATGTATTTACGTTTTTAATCAGGATAAGTACTCTGGGACATGCAATGATGCTTCATGTTGCAACTTCTAGGCTGCTGGGACACACAGAAGTGGTTTAGAGAAGGGAAAATACGGGATAAACCTTCCATCACTTACCCTGCTGAAAGACCTACTATAGGACAGACTGGATGCTATTCTTAGAGAGCCAAAGCATTTTGTATATTCTGAACAAGTCATTCAGTGAGATGTCAACTTCAGAGCAGACTTCAGAGGACAGTATTGTTTTTACTGTAAGAACAGCAGGATAGCTATAATTAATGATATCGAAACATTATTTTATCAGTTTTCATATTGTCATATTATCTCTGAGGCTTGTTGTTAGATGTCTTGACATCCTGTTGCTTAGTCATGCACTTAGTTGCTTCAAATTTCATAGAGGCCACTTCCATACAACCAGCAGTGAAAGGAACAAGACATGAAAAAGACCCATGGTTGCAGTCCTCAAATAGAGTGAATGAAGTTCATGGTATCTGAGAATGATTACATCTCCATGTGGTCGTGTCCTATGAATTTTTCTGTGTCTAAGTTTATTTTTTTCCCTCAAACCAATATCCATCTCAGAGAACATGAACATATTACTCATGAATTCTATTTATCATGCCATTACATTTAATTGAAGTAGATGTCTAGATCTTGAGAACACATCCTTTTCCAATAAATTTGTCCAAGAAAATACAGTAACATGCTCTTCTGCAATGATCTGATATATATTATTGCAAAATTCATTTCAATTGTCTGAAAGTCCTAAATTTTCAGAAAATATGCAGTATTATATGTTAAGGATGCAACAGAAAAACGTAACTGCATAGCATCTGCAGAGAAGGGCAGAAGTGTAGAAAAGAAAAAGAATAAAAGTATTTTTAGCTACTACTATCACTTTAATAGATACAAAGCACATAAAGTAAAAATTAGTTCAAATGTCTTATGATTAGGGGAAGAAATGCTCCTCAATACTGAAGTAGCTGTCATTACATAATAATGATTAGCTTTTGACAGAACAATAACTAGTAACAAAAAACAGTCCTTCCTGTCATAATAATTCTGTCAGATGATGATTAGAATTTTGAAGTTTTGTGAAAGGTGACTTTCAAGGGTAAATAATTATATCACTAATAAGTTTTGTCAAATAGGAATTACGACAATGGCCATTATGGCCTTAAAATACAGAACAAAAACAGTCTTCCAGTGAGAGACTACAAAATACCTTTTTGGAGGAGATGTGCTTTTGTACAACTACTTGGATAAAAATTATCAGTGCAGAAAAGCTTAAGTCTTCAGCCACATTAAGAAATGCATCAAATCTGTGTATTACTTTCCTAGGGTACGGAGATTTGATTCTTTGCATTTTCTTTATCGTGTTCCTGGAACTTTGAGTATTTATACTCTTCTGTGAGTATTTTAGCTACTGCATGGACACAAATTGTACATGATAATGGAAATGGTAAGAAAGCCTATTTCTTTCCCTCAATACTCAGCTGCCCACAGCTCAAGGTATGGTAATTACCCCCAAGAGTAGAAGTAGCGAAGTAACACTGGCCTGGCATTCCAGCAGGGCTAACTGGAATTCCTGCTCTGCAAAGGGTACCTTGTGTGCTCTGTGTCCAGGCTTGAGGCTGGTTCAGGCACTCACAGAGGGACTGCTTTATCACAGAGATACTCTCAGCTTCTTCTCTGAGCTTCACCACAACAGGAAAGAGGATTGAAATGAAGAGGGAGGAGAAAAATGCACCATTGATAACCATGACCCTGCTACCACAGGCAACAGGAAACTCTAAGCAAGGAGAATACTTTCCTTCACTGTCTGTGAGAGGACTGAGTAACCTTCTTGAGTCTTCTTAAGAGCACTACAAACACGCTCTCCAACGGCCTAGGGAAGGGAAGATTCCACAGCTCCTACTCACCTCACCTTGCTTTGGTGAGTCAGTGCTTTCTCAGAGGGGTGCTCACGCTAAACTGAACCTCAACCAACCCCCCAGTATTTCACACTGCCTTGGATACACTTTCTTATGGAGGACACAAAAGCTGGAGCTACTCTGGGGATTATACGGTAACTTTAAATAAGATACAAACATCAACAATACAGGATTACTGACATAAATTTTAATAAATAAATAAATAGTCCTATTACAATGAAGTATGTTGTACAAAACAGAGAATTACAGGAAGCAGACATGTCCTAAGTTTTATAAACTAATTACTATGAGCTGGAGATACTGTTTGGTTTTGGTTTTTTTAAATATATTTTAAGGAATGACAGTAATAGTTTCTGCAAACTTTTGCAAACAAATGTAGAAGCCTTTAGTTAATATTAAAGAATTTCTTCTTGACACAGTGTCAAACAACTACTTTCACAGAAATGTAGACATTCAACAAATAATTTTAAAGCTACAAAAGTTTACAAGAAAGTGGTCTCTAAAACTCACCATCAATGTCTTGTTCAAGGGTATTTCTTTACTTCTGGAATATCTTTTTCAAACAGATTCAACAAAATCAGTATCTTTACATTCAAGTTCCTGCTCATCTTCTGGGGTGTCACTGAGCACTGTAAATTTCAGGGTAAAAATGAAAGAAAAAATTCAAAAAGGATTAAAAATCAACTTAAATGGAAAAAAGTCAAAACTATATTTTGTGTTTAATTTTTCTGGTACATAAACTAGAACTCTTTATCAATTAAATTCAACATTTTTCCATGACAATAATAGTCAAAGACCCTCTCTTTTAAGTCTTCCCTTCTTCTTTAGTGTTATTTAGCTATACTAGAAGGAGAAAGTTGTAGCTATAGGTCCACAGGCTTACAGAAATATTTTGGTTTTGTTCCCGCTCCCACCACCCCATGGTACAATTCTTGTTTATATGGCTATACAAACAATGACACAAAATATATGTGTTTCCTCTGTGAACTTAAATTACACCCATTGCCTCCAAGTATGGCTTTCCTTTCAAACACATAATTTCAGTATTGTGTTGGAGCTGGCTTGAGTTAGTGGCTTGTGCTGGGGCCAAAATCACCGAGACTGACAAAATGACAGGAATTTAGAGCTAACATTCAGTATGTCTTGGCAACAATGTTCAAACTCTGAATGTTTGTGAGCTTTACAACCTAAAAATGTTACAACAGGCATAATTTTAAATGGGTAACATCAAATTATGTTACATCTAGGGACACAGGAAAGGATATCTTACACAAAATATGAATACATGAATAAAGCTATGGATAGCATTACTCTCCTATACTTCTCTCTGGGATCCCAGACTTTCTTTCTAGCTGATTTCCACATTGCTTTTCTGTAACACCAGTTAAAAGTACACACTTCCTTGCAGGAATTCCAAACCTTATAGGAAGAAATTTTAACATCCTGTTAAAAAGCATCATGTGAGAAGATAATTGCTAGGCAGTACAGGAAAGAATAGAGAACTAAATGAAACTTGTTTGTCAAAAAAAGAGTGAAAAAACAGTAAGTGCTTTAAGCTTAAAACGTTCTACAATGAAAGCCTGAATGATTATTTATTTTTGTTTTTAGAATAGCACTTAAAGGCATTATCACCAGCAGGTAATTTAGAGCAACTGGACGGAAACTCTTATGTAGGCAAATTTGAGCCAATTTTTTTTATTCCAGAGATCAGAGTTTTTAAGCAGCAAGTAGAAAACTTTGTGCATGAATTCAGTACATTAATGTGAAGCTCACACTGTACGCATGCTCTATTCTATAACATGGAGGCAGAGATTTTGTTACTTTGGGGAACAACGACTTCATATAGTCTGTTCCTTGGAATAACAATCATTTCCCACCAAGAAATGATGCACCTGTCAGGATCAGCCTGGAAACCTCTTGCATAAAGCTGTTCACTCTTGTTATCACAGCAGGGTGACTGTTAGAAGAACGGATTCCTCCATTCTTCACATATGTCTCTCCTGACACTTGTCAGAAGAGCACACTCTCTCCTCCAGGTCTCAACACTTCAACTACAGTCTGGCATGAGGAATCAGGGAAGTTTCACTACATGACTGAAATTCCTACACTCTTAAAATGCTGAAAGGCAACAGTGGAAGAATAAAAAAATAACTGTGACACAGCTACAAAAACCTAAATGGACAGCCAGAAATGTGTCCTGTTAACTGATTTAGAGACCTGAACATGTAAGTAAATTATTGATGGAGTTCAGATGATGAAATAATAATTCTGTATCCTGTTTTAGTGCAAAGTTTTACAAATATTAGCAAGTATAGCTTCCTAAAATTAATCAGGAATCTGAATCCCTATTATATAGAAAAAGAAACCCTAATGCTCATGTATGTTACATCATTCTATTTAACAGCATATTTTTCTTGATTTTTTTTGATACTGATTATTTTTGCATTTTCTGCAAGTAAAGCCATTCATTAATTCAAATGTGGAACCAAAATCAACATTTCTAATAAACTTTAAAAATTATTCTGTATCAATAAATGAAATTGCAAGAGAAAAATCAACTTCATTTTGAAATCTTATGTTCATGAACAGTGAATTCCACTCTAAACACATTTTAGACTGGATATTAACAAAAAATTAATCAGTGAACAAGTTGTCAGGCCCTGGAACAAACTGCTCAGGGAACTGGTGGAGTCACCATCCCTGGAGATATTTAAAAGTGCAGTGCTGGGTTAACAGTTGAACTCAATGACCTGAAAGTTCTTCTTCAACCTATATAGGACTCTAAAAAATACATATTTTCCATATAAATTCCATGCCAACAAAAATTTATTTATTTGTAAGCATAAAGTAAAACGGTATAAAGCTGTGAAATTTTCAGGGCCAAATTGGTTCAGTTTCAACTACACAATTAGCTTATAGTTGCAACTTTGGCTTAGCAATAATTTTATGTATTACAACAGTATATCTTTTTCAAGAGCTGTTCATTGAAGTGATTCTTCTTTTAGAAGACAAAAATAGCATGTGATTTATCCATTTATTTATGTTATAATATGGATCCAATCATTTTGAGTATCATTTCCAGCAACTTTCATTGTGACAAGAAAAAAATAAATTAATACACTACTTAATACACATAATACACTGCCTATGCTGCTATAATTTGGCCTAGCACAAACACTAATAAAGTGTCAGGCTAAAGCATCTGCAGGCAATTTTCAATGATATTTATATCCTTGATAATTTGGTTTCCTGAGCTTTAAAGCATTAGTTTAGTTCAGTTCCTGTTTCAGCTAAAAAAGCTCTGATACTAGTTTGTAAGGCTTGTGATAGAAAACATGTGTTGAAGCTATAACTAGGCCAGGTTTAAAATGCACAGAGTTGGAAACTTTCAGTGTATGGGCACAATCTCTCCATAAATTTTGTTTCTTGGTGGTCCTCTTGATAGGATCAAGTTGGGAACTGGACTACTGATGAACTTCCTGTCTTCCTATTTAGACAATGCAGAGCTGAAATTTCAACAGGAGCCAAGCCAGACACATCAGTGACTGCAGAAAACAAGCTACAAACATGGAGGACAGTACCATGGTAGCAACACATAGAAGATGAATGCTTCTGTTCAGAGAAAAATCTCACTGCTGTAATCTTACTTTCATTTTAGGCTGGTAAAATCATTATTAAAAATATCCAAATATTTATAGGAGAAATATCAACACACTGGCTAGTTATTTTCCTTTGCTAATTTATCTGTCAGGGGAAAAATAAGAAAAGAAAGGAGTATTTTATCCTCAGTATTGTCAAATTTTAATAGAACATTATCCATTTTCCCATTCTATATGGTAGAATAAGTCATCTGCTTGCTTATTAAGTGAAGTATTTTTTAGGATTTTTTAAAAATCTCCAAATCTAAGAATTATTTTGGTATGATACTTCCATCCCAACAAGTAATCATTTCATGGTGTTCCCTGCTCCATTCCAGTAAAACCTGTTTTCTGGCCAAGACATGAAATTCGGATCTAGAAATGAAATGAAGAGAGATCACTCCTCCTTACTAGGGAGTCAATCAGTGATTTGTGAATAAATACATGTTTAAAAGATTTACAAGTAACTCCAACACTTCAAATACAATCAGCAGGTATCCTATTCTTCCACAAATTAAATGTATCTTTAAATTAGTGATTATTCCATTTTAATGACTGATCTTCAAGAAAAAATGTAATCACAGAATGTAAATCATTCTAAGTCATTCTAAATCATCGTAAGTAATGTACATACTATCATAATAAAAAAACTGAATAAAAATAAATTTATTATTATTATTAAATTGGACAAGAACAATTTATATTCTTTCTCACATGCATTCACATAATAGCTGCCTGCCTGCCTGCCTGCCTGCCTGTCTGTCTATCTATATATCTATCTATCTATCTATCTCTGGAAATTCTAGGGCCAAGGAACACTTTCTACAGCTCTAAGACTCTTAAACAGTATTCTGAATTCAGAAAGCAACAAATGTACTACACTACACTGGGCAGGTAAGTGTTTTTCAGATTCATTAGTGATAGAATACTGGTGATAGATTGTCTCTTTTGCTGAACATATTTGTTAAAAACAAACCAACCAACCAACCAACCAACCTCCCAAACCAAACCCCAAACTACAGCACTAAACCAGCACGAGGTAAGGCTGCAGTATTCATGCCACATGAACCTACACTTGGAAGAAATAAGAGCAATTGTCCCATCAGAATGCAGTTATCATTCCTAGCTGAAACAGAAGTTTTTCTAGTTAGTTAGTTAGGTATTAACTCCTCAGTCACATCTCCTCAAAAGAGACAAACAACAAGGTGAACCACAAGCATTATTTACTAAGACCCACAACAGAGTTTTCCAGCACTAACATGTACCTGTCAGTGTGCAGATCTGGCTTCAGAACAGACCTGAGACCTCTTTCTGCACAATTATCTGCGTTAACCACATTTATCACTGCAAAGCAAATCAGAATTACTATTAGTATCAAATGTTTTTCACCTTTTAGAAGAACATGAGGAAAAGAACAACGAAAAATAAATATTTCTTTCTTTTTTCCTAAGGAAAAGCAACAATGCCAGAATCAAATCTGAAAGGTCATGTGACCGAATGGTGTGTCACTGGCAGGTTTATGTGCACACTGTCAAAAAAGATACAAGTAGCATCTAAGCATGCCACACAGCTGTCACTTTCTGTTAATGGCAATAGCACTCATGATTTTAAAAGCCAGTGGTCTTTATTGCTTTGTATTTGAAGTGATTTACTGCATTTTCTTCCACTGAGGAACCCAGTGATAATGATAATGTATGGCAGAGTGCTTGTCCTTTTTGACAGCCTCAGTAATTTAATCCTCCTTTCCTGCCACAATATTTCAATAAGAGAAACCTCTAGACCAATGGACTGGAGAAAATCCACAGCCTGGGGAGTGTGAGTGCTCTGAAATCTTTTCATTGTTTTAATTTAAAATACAAACACAAGGATCAGCTTTTAATTTCTGTACTATTAATATGACCTAGAGAGAAAGTTAGCCTTGGTTTGGAAAACATACTAGAAGAATGAGAAGCAGAGTTTAAGAAATTCTTTAAGAAGTTTTTGGGTGTCTTCTATTAGACAAAGTAGCTACTTGCCTGCAAATGATATCAGTCTGCAAATAACAGCAACTTACTGTGAAAGATTATTAAAACTGAAAAGGTGTTAAAGGAAATTTAAAAACATTAAATAAAGAAATGGAACTGGAAAGATTTTGCTAGGACAGAACTAGAATGAATACAGCCCCCTAAGAATCAAACAAAGCTCTTCAGAAGAGTTTTCATTTATTTCTCAGGGGAGAAGGTGGAGCTAGAAATTTGTCTGTCAGTAAACTCCAACATTTTTAATATTCACTTTCTTCTAGTTACTGTGCCACTGTACTCACTACAATTCTTTTTTGACTCTCAACATCAGAGTAAGGTTTCCTTTTCCCCTGTGCAGACAGATATCTTTAACATATCTCATACTGTTTTCTCTTACCCAAAATAAACTTACTTTATAAACAGAAAGTATCAACCCTGCTATGGAGCTGCGAGCACTGGAATACAGCAACATGAGGAGATAAGAAGACCTAAATTCCTTGTAGAGGGATTTATTGAAGGACATATCTCTATTAGTCCTAGGAAGCCCATTTCCCAGAGGAAATGATTTTTTCTACTGATTTTTCAGTTTTCTCCAAAGCTGTTCCCCAGCCCTTACAGCAGTGGAACCGCTGTTAGGAATGGGTTACTATCACAAAACAGCCACTCCAGTTGCAGAATCATTCAGTCAAAGGAATCTGCAATTTGCCACCTTTTTCTCTACTAACAGCAGACCACTGGCATTCTGTCTTTGAATCCTTGATTTCCACTCACAATTTTTTACTTTCTTGGGTTAAAAGAAGCTGTTGTCATCTGCTGTTCTTTTGGACATGTGGATGACTTTCCACATGTGCTACTCTCATGACCAAGTGCTCCTGAGGCCACCACAGGAAGTGATGGGGAGGCAGCAGGGAGACAGATGGACAGCCAGAGAACTTCAAAGGAAATGCCACATCAACAGATTCTTCCCCTTCCCATAAGCATCCCAAATGGAATTTCCTAAGTTTACTAATACTGTATCTATAACAATTTTAAATGCAAATTATTAACAAACCTAAAGAGTTCAAATTCATTTCACTCAATGGAGAAATTCAGAATAGTAAGTAAAACATTTGGCACAAGAACTTTATTCAAGTCTGGAGAAAATGATTAACCAGAGTGAAAATATATTTTTAGATCCTGATGAATAACATTCTTTCATAGCACCCCTTAGTACTGTCTGAACTTAGAAGCATTAACACTGCTGCAAGGCATGGAACATCTCATATTTCTATCCAATTAATTGCAAAAATAATTCAAAATTAACTTGTGACAGTTTGCCTCTAAAATTATAATTTTAAAGTTAGTCCTAAAGAAGTACTAAAAGCTGAAGATTACAATGACCCTGGAACCTTGTTAGAAATCCGTGCAATTCAAAATATTGCTGTTCTGCTGTAGTTCAGTTTTTTTCATAGCTTACATTCTAAAAAAACTAAACAACTACTTGATGAAGCAGTTCTTCATCAAATGAAGAAAAAAATGCTCAACAGTCTTGAGCTTATTTCAGAAAAGGAATAAACACACAGAAGTATAACAACGTTTCCTGATGCAAAGGCTTAACATTTGAGGAATCCACTTTTAAAATAGGGATCTTCGTTAGTTTATTTTCAATAAAAAGTACATCCCATCATTCCCACACCTCTCCTCTCTACTTCCACTTGGACTTCAAGTTGTTCAAATAGTCACATGTTCATCTAAGACAGAAACGGTTTTGAGGAAAGAAAGCTTCCCAATTAAATTTTATGTAAAACCTTTGCCAGATTTCATAACTCTTTCTTCTATTTCTGCTGTCTGCTCTCTAGAACCACTGTATCATTTGGCAAGTTTCATGGTTCTCTGAATGTATGGGCCTATAGTGTTTGGAAGCATTCTCAGATACTGTAATAACTCTTCAGTGGTAACAAACACAACAGCTCCTCTCAGTCACTATGATCATCAGGAGGTACAACACAATGTCATGAGCAATCAAGAGGTTTGCACTATAATCCTGCACTGTCTAAACTTCCCCATCCAAGTTTCTATTCCAAGACTCTGGAATAAATAAAATGATCCTCTAAATATTCTTAGTGAAAAAGTCATAGTTGAAAAAACCCAATTAATGCCAAGTTACATGCTTGAACCACGTGTGAAAATGGAAACTCATGGGATCTTGTATGTCCAGATCACTGGAACTCTACTATACTGTTTTCAACAAGGTTCTGTTAATCTTCTGCATCTCACATGCCAAACAATGAGTGAACAATGTGCAAAAGGTACGGGAAAAACTTCAAATGCTTTTTAAGCAATGAATATCATGAAGCCTTCTGCAACAGTTAAGATGTTTTTAAAACAGCCAATCTGTTCCAGTTATAGATAATATAAAATGCTTTATTTATTGTAAGAATTAGTGATTTTTTTAGATTACTTATAGCCGTACTCCAATTTTCTCCATGCAAAAATCTAAAAGACTATTAGTTTCCTTCTAAGCTCAAAGTAAATTTCTTTCTACGCATGCAAATCTCATTTTTATTAAATATTCAATTAACCTCAAATATTCAGCGTACTCAAATCTAATTAGACATGAATAAGAGATGCAGCAAAGCTATAGTAAACACACAGGCAGATTTCATTACTATTATCTTACTGGCTTCTCAACTGGTATTATCAAAAAGCAGACTCATTAGGTTTTTCCCCCTATATGCAAAGCTAATCTTGAGTAGAAATTAGACATCCAATTATCTAAGCAAACCTCTACAAATAACAACCACAGTAGTATAAAGCTGCAGAATACAGTCCTGAAGCAATTAAGACCAAACCCCACCTTTTAATATTGATTTGTTGGGATATTTTGAAGTTCAAACAGTTTTATAATCCATAACCAAGCAGTAAATAGAAAAATTAAAGTTGCACAGCCAGGTTATGATTAACAGAAATAATAAAATACAACACTACTACATTGGAAAGCCTTATGAATTACAGTCTTTCCAAAGCATGATGCTATTTTGAAATATCACAGCTTGAAATGTATTGAAGTTTCATAATTACCTTAAAATTCTGAAAAATTTTATTCCGTATTCATCATAATTTTCCTGCATTTTTAGTTAAACTTTGCAGAGCAAATACCTAAAATACAACTATGCTTAGACCATAACTAGCATACCCAGGAATCAGAATATTGTGTAAGACTTTTATACCTTCTGAATGCTTGTTATATTCAAAGCAATGAGAATTCAAAAAGCAAGAGAAATAAAAAGCCTTAAGAAGCTTTCATTAGCTTATGGTATTATTTCAACAGGTTTTGAAAAAGATTTCATTTATGTCTGTCTAACTAGAACATCTGGAGAAGTGCCTATAGAAGCTAACAAGATGAAATTGTCCAGCTCATAAAAAGAGTTCTTATTTATGCAATGTCTTATTTAGCATATGATGCCAGAAATCCATTTGTCTGAAGGGAAGGAAGCCTCAGTGAATTCAGGACTTCGCAGAATTAGTGTTTTTTTGATGGTTTCTTTTTCTGATCTTTCACAAAGATCAATGTCCTTCTTGGAGTCACAAAAGTTAACAATTGCATGATGGATTGAGACTACTTTCAGATGTTCATTTATTAGAGTCTAGCATAAGCTAGAAGTAAATACCAATTTATTATTATTAAATACAGTTGAGTAATTTCCCTTTTAAAAATGTCTTATTAAAGGTACTCTGAGTATTCATAAGTGAAGATCACGTCCATTACGTATTTTCTCTAAATGTATTTCAGTTGTACATGGTTGGACAAAATGTTTTCCTTTTGTTATATCATGTATCAATAGAAAAATTAGTTTGTTGTGCTCTTTCAAAAAAGAAAATTTAGTTATGTAAAGCCTAATTTTAAAATGTATGCACTACCAGCATATTTAAATATATTGCAGTTTCAATTTCTTACACAAGCCTACTTTTGTATTGTAGTCTATACTTAATAATTGCATCCTTATCTCAGTTCTTAAAAACCATCTTCAGCATTTCCCAAAATAGTTGGAAGAATGACAAATAAAACCAGTACAGAGATAAATGAAAATATAATGTATAGGAAATAGGCTTTGTTGCAGGCATTTTCGTAAGACAGAATTTTAGGGAAGGAACACACCTGCTCAGGCGTAGGTCCCACTCACCAGTGCTGTAGTTACAGTCACTCCTCTGACTACCTGTTGGGTTTGGAAGTGACAGTGGAGTGTCCTCTGCAGGGAAATTGTTTCATCTGCATTCTACACTCAGCTGCTGTATTATTTCATCTGATGTAATTAATGACTTTATAAAACCAAGTGATGTAATTTTAATCCAGATTTTTCA